ATACACACATGTCTATGACATCCCCTCCACAAAGTCAAGGCTAAGGGAAAGAAAAACATCTAAGATGATGGCTCCAGGAATCACAAAGCACCAACCAATTGGAAAAATTAATGAGTCTCATTTTTCATAAGATCCCTTGACACCTGTCTGGAGCCTGACTCTCCTGGTTCCCTCGAGATACTCAGGAAGATTTGAGGAAAAGAGACCCAGGAGAGCAGGGCTAGCCAACATGTCTTTTCTTTGGAGATTCTGCTCTTGATCTCTGAGTTTATAGAGACAGCTCCTCCTCTTCATTTAGGAATAGCTTTCAGAGCCAGGGGGCCAGTGTACATGTCATTGCCACTCTTTCTTTAAGCTACAGTGCTATCTGGAGAACGATAAGTGATTGTAAGATTATATATCCTTGAAAAAGCCCTAGGTTTTTTGTTTGTTTGTTTTTTGTAGATGCTGTCAAACTAGATTTGAGAGGTGTTAGGTACACATATATGTCCTTCTCAGCTTAGCAGGATCTAGTCTCACTTGCTCTTGCATCCATCTTGGGCCAGGATCTGGAGCTCTTGGATGGGAAAACACAAAGATATGCCAGTTTGACTCATGTCCTAAAAGCACAGCCTGGCAGATTCTTTCCCATTGTCCTATGATCAGGTGTCTTTCTTCCTCTGGTTTCTTCAGATATCTATATCTTCGGATATCTATAATAATCACGGATTTTTAGAGGTCACTTTATCCACCCTTGGCATCTTAGAATTTGTGTTTCAAGGTCTCTGGAGAAGAGGCCATAGGATTTTGTTTGTTTGTTTTTTGCAAGTGTAATTTACATGTAATAGCAATTTTCAGGAGATTGGCCTAAGTTGCAGATTTTACATTCTTTCCCTTTCCCTAACAGTTTCACTCAGATTTAAATAACAGATATACGATTCCTTGTAAGTATCGATAAATTCTGTAATAGTTGCTTTCCTTATAAATGCAATTCTCTTTGCATCTTCAAACTTTATTTTGTCTTTTATTTGGAGTATAATCTTTGTGACTAAAACATTCGCTACACTAACTTTTCACTGTAGTAGTCTGTCTCAATGTTCTTATTTTCCAAGAGGAGAATTGACAAATACATTTCTCTCTCTCTGATCTTTCATTGTCTCATGCTGTGTTTTTTCTTTGTTTTTGTTGATTTTTAAAAAATTCTTGGCTGGCTTCTTCCTATCACAGAGCCATACCAAGGATAATTTTAAGTGGTGTGCCCAAGAACACATGTTTTAACATTGACAGAATCCAGATCTGTTTCCAGATTTCCGAAGTCCCAGCCAATTCCCATGGTTCTTACGTCATAATGAGCCCACCTAAAGAATTGTGGGTCTAGCAGTGACAGATAGACAAGAATAGAATCTTATTTGTGGCCAAAGGAGAATCTTTTTAAAAATTAACTTTGGTAAGTTATAAGATCTTACATAATGTTGTACAACACAGTATTATACAATATGATACAATACCATACAGTATAATGCAATATAAATAATATAACAAACTGCACCAACTTTAAGTATACTTTTTGCTGAGTTTTGACAAATTTATATGCCTGTATAACCACCAGCACAGTCAAGAACATTTCCTTCACCCCACAAAGTTCCCTGTGTTCTTTTGCATTTATTCCCAGCAATTCTAGCAACAACTGAGCTGTTTTCTTGCAGTATAGATTAAATTTGTATTTTCTAGAGTTTCATATAAATAGAATCATACTATATGCACTCTTTTGTGTCTAACTTCTTTGATTCAATATGATGTTTTTAAAACTCAACCATGATGTTGTTTGTATTAGTAATTTCTTCCTTTTATTGTTGAGCAGTATTTTGTTGTATGGATACACCATAAATATTTGAGGTGTTTCCAGTTTTTGGCTTTTAGAAAAAAACTGCTGGGAACCTTCATATATATGTCTCTGTGTGGACACATGTTTTCATTTCTCTTGTGTAAATAGGAAAAAATATTGAGTTGTGAGGTAAGTATATTTACCTTTCTAAAAATCTGCCAAACTGTTTTCCAAATGGGTTATACAATTTTTCATTACCACCATCGATATTTAAGAGTTCCAATTCCTTCACTTCCTTGCCAATATTAGATGTTGTTAAATTTGTAATTTTAGCCATTTAAGTGGGTGCATAGTGGTATCTTATGGTTTTATACTACATTTCTCTGATGGCTAATGATGTTATGATGTTGAGCATCCTTTCGTGTGCTTATTGACCATTTGTATATCTTTTGTGAAACATCTGTTCAAATGTTTGCCAATTTAAAAAGTGTGTCTTAGTATTGAGTTATAAGAATTCTTTATATATTCTGAATACAAGTTTAGATATATGTGTCGTATTTAGATATACGTACTGTGAATATTTTCTCCCAGTTTGTGGCTTTCCATTTCATTTTTCTAACCACGTCTTTTGAAGAGCAATAGCTTTAATTCTGATGAAGTTCAATTTGTGATTTTATCCTTTTATGGTTTATGCTTTTTGTTTTGTATCTAAGAATTCTCAAGGTTGTGAAGATTTTATCATATTTTGTTTAGTTTTTAGTTTTAGCTTTTATATCTTTGGTTCATTTTGAGTTATTTTTTGTATATGGCATGAGATAAGGTTGAGATTTATTTTTTCCCATATAGACATCCTCTTGCTCCAGCAACATTTGTTGAGAATACTATCATTGAGATACTTTAGCACTTTATCAAAAATCAACTGACCATATATGTATGGATCATTTTTGGACTCTGTTTTGTTCCATTGAGCTGTATGTCTATCCTTATACCAATACCATGCTACCTTGATTATGGTAGTCTTCAAATGAAGTAGTCTAAGTCCTTTAACTTCGTTCTTTTTCATAATTGTTTTGGCATTCTTATTTTTTTGCATTTCCATAAAAATTTTATTTTATTTTATTTTTGTGGGGAAGATCAGCCTTGAGCTAACATCTGATGCCAATCCTCCTCTTTTTGCTGAGGAAGATTGGCCCTGGGCTAACATCCGTGCCCATCCTCCTCTACTTTATATGGGATGCCACCACAGCATGGCTTGACAAGCAGTGCGTTAGTGCACGCTCTGGATCTGAACCTGCCAACCTTTGGGCCACCAAAGCGGAGCAGGCGTACTTAGCCGCTATGCCACCGGGCCGACCCCTCCATAAAAATTTTAGAATGGGGATGTGTTTTGTTATCCTGGCTAGAGGATTTGGTATCCTAATCTTATGTGAGTCATTGTGAGTCCAGAAATTGGGACAGACATGAGACATACTTTAAGGAATAATTTCACTGAATGTGAGTTAAAGTACATGTGGTTACAAAATGCTGACCCCAATTAAGTGGAATAATGATGAGGTCATTGAGAAAGACAGAAAAGTTGATATGGAGAGCTTTTTTCAAATGTAAGAAGGGTAGAGGTTTAGTTTGCTTTTGAAAATATAAAATTTATTATGTTTGCAAGACCCACAAGCAGAAAAGTCCAGAGGGAGGTACATCATAAACTTGAGAAAAAGAATGATGATGGAAATTGAGATTTGAGAGCAATCAACATAGAAATTATAACTGAAAAAATTGAGGAAAGTGTGGAGAGAAAAAAGCAAGGGCCAAAGATTGATCAGAGAACAGCATTTACAATTACAATTAGAACTTGCTTTCATAAGCAGATTCGTGGAAGGTAACTAAATGAGTGCTGAGAAGAGAGAAAAATAGTGTAGTGTCATGGAAACCACGGTCAGAGAATGGTTTTCAGGAGGCAGGGTTTTCACAAGTATCAAATGAATAGGAGAAGGACACAAAAAAGAGGAAAAAGCAAAGGCCGACAGTTTCAGCAATAGGCACTTCTTTGGTGACATTTGAGAGAACAGTTTCACGGGAGTGAACACGATGAAACCAACTTTCATGGAATTATGGAGGTTGGGAGAGGAAGTCAATTTCAGTAATTCTGCAAATGAAAAGAGGGACACGAAAGGAATGGTCAGTATAAAGAATCATGGAATCAATCAGCTGTACGCTCTTCATGCAGGTTATGTATTCTTGCTTTTTGAGAGAGGGGACTAGTGTGCTCTGTTTCTCATAATTATATCAAATTCTATATTCACCATATTTTTGAAAATCGATAAGCTAGTTCAACTCTGAGTAGCTAGCAAAATCCTCCCTCCTCCTCTCTCAACTCTGGCACTTACATTCCTTTATCCATACCTTGAATTGTCCTAACCCTTTCCTATTACAGTGGAAACTAAGTAATGTTTTCTCAACCACAATTCTCTCTTCCTGACTACACTTCTCAAAAGGACTACTGGAGTCAGCAAAAAGATTCTTTGGTGGGACTTGAGTGAATAATTTCAGTGGAGTGATCATGGCAGAAGTTGTTCTGCAGTTTTTCTGCTTTGAGGGTGTGATGACAAGTTTAGACCATATTATCTCCCTGAAATTAGGTTTCTAGATGGAGAACTCAATTGAAACACTGTGTAAAAGTCCTTGGTGACCCTGTCACCAAATCCAGTGACCACGTCTCAAAGTTTATTCTCCCTGACTACTTCATTCTGCTATATCATTTCCCCCTGAAACTCTTATCTTTATGGTTTTCTTAACACACACTTTGCTAGTATTCTCCTTTGGGAACAGAGTTTGTTTTAAGTGGTGGATATCGTTACTGATTGAGACACAGAGCATGACTTTCTCCTTGCTGCTCTCTTCCCCTTCCCAACATCAGTATGATGTGTGTGAGGTGAGCATTTGCTCAGAAGTCTTCTCCAGGCACAGGAAATAGTTTGCTCCATAGTGCTAATGTTCACATATATAAGCCCCAAAGAGACACAAGTAGTTTTCTCTCTTCATGTGCAAGCCCCCTAAGTATGAGTTTGCTGGTCATAAAGGAGGGAATTGGGTTCACTCTTTCAGTTCAGCTGTCCTTGTCCCTTGTTGTACAGTCCAATTGCTGATGGTAAGTTTTCCCTTGATGACTCCCTTTATTGCCTTCAGACACTGATATAGCAGAATGCAGGGAAAAAATTTCACAGGAGTGACAGAATTCATCTTCCTGGGATTCTCTATCTTTGGAAAGCACCAGATAACCCTCTTCCTGGTTTTCCTAACCATCTACGTTTTAACGCTGGCTGGTAACATCATCATTGTGACTATCATCTGCATTGATCATCATCTCCACATTTCCATGTACTTCTTCCTGAGCATGCTAGCTAGTTCAGAAACAGTGTACACACTGGTCGTTGTCCCATGAATGCTTTCCAGTCTCCTTTTTCATAACCAGCCCATCTCCTTGGCAGGTTGTGCAACCCAGATGTTCTTTTTTGTCATCTTGGCCACTAATAACTGCTTTTTGCTCACAGTGATGGGCTATGACCACTATGTGGCCATCTGCAAGCCCCTGATGTACATGGTCATCATGAGCAAAGGAACGTGTGCCCGGTTGGTATGTGGGTCCTTTGGCACTGGTCTGGTTATGGCAGTTCTCCATGTGACAGCCATGTTTAATTTGCCCTTCTGTAGCACAGTGGTGAATCACTTCTTCTGTGACATTTACCCAGTCATGAAACTTTCTTGCACTGATACCACTATCAATGAGATAATCAATTATGGTGTAAGTTTATTTGTGATTTTTGTGCCTGTGGGCTTGATTTCCATCTCCTACATCCTTATTATCTCCTCCATCCTTAAGATTGCCTCAGCCAAGGGCCGGAATAAGACCTTTGCCACCTGTGCCTCCCACCTCACTGTGGTCATTGTCCACTATGGCTGTGCCTCCACTGCCTACCTCAAGCCCAAGTCAGAAAACTCAATAGAAAAAGAACTTCTTCTCTCTGTGACTTACACCATCATCCCTCCTCTGCTGAACCCTGTTGTTTACAGTCTAAGGAACAAGGAGGTCAAGGATGCCCTATGCAGAGCTGTGGGCAAAAACATTGCTTAACAGATCGAATCATTTTGTCAGGAGACATTTAGCCCAGTGTAATGTGTCTCTACTCACAAACACGCCACAATACACAAGTTCATCAAATGCAATGTGTGTCAAGAGTAACGTCAAAGAGTAGAAATGCTTTTCTTTTTCATGCTCTAGGGACAAGGCAGAAAGCAAGATTTCTGTTCTAGAGACTTTTGTTACCAGATATAGGAATCATTCCATGCCAGATTAAGACTACTTGTTTCTGTGCCTAAAGATTTCGGTTTTGAAACCTCTTCTAGCCCCAACTTTACCTGGCTCCTTTCAGACAGTCAATCTTTGACCCAGTCTGCTAAGGAGATGTGGAGAAGAGGCAGTTGAAACAGATGTGGAAAGGGTCTTAGGAAAATAAGCTGCAGAGATAGCCTGAGGATGGCTTTCATTCTCAGGAGTTAAAACATTTGCCCTGTAATAGTCATTTCTGAAAGGGTTTCCTTAATTCTTGCTGACTGCAAAATGAACAGCTTAAGCAAAATGGGTGACTTCTTTAATTATCCAGCCATTTTAGCTCCTTAAATAGTATTAATTTCTATGTGTATTTCTTCCTTCTGTGCAATCAAGGCAAAAATCTCTGTTGTTCCTTAAAGGCTAAGCAAGGAGAAAACTTACTGGTGGGTTTTCTCTGTAACTGCGCTTTTATCCAGTTGCACTTTTCCTAAAGACTCTTCTCTTTTCAACCCATGGGAGCTTTTTAGATTTTTAATTTCTATGTAGTAGCTGCAATGGCATTGAAGTAGTTGTCTTAGGTATTGGCTGTACTGATTCCAGGGTGTAAAGCAAATGCCATTAAATTCCCTTCTCTCAGTAAGCGGTGTGAATTTCATACTTCTCTCCATACTTATTTATATCAAAATAAGCATAACCATGATAAATTATTTTATATCCTCAAGGTTATGGGAATTTTTGTTTCATGGATCTTCCCACCAGAGTTTATCTCTACTCTGAGACAGAGCTGGAAGATACTAAGAGACACAGATATGGAAACACCTTTTCACACACTCTTGGTACCCAGTGTTATTCTATTCCGCAGTCAGTTCCTATCCCTTACTTTTCAGTTTTATTTTTCTGTTCTGAACCACAGAAATAGTACTGATGTATCTTCTAGGTGACTCATAATTTTTCTCTGTTCTACAGATCTCTATGTGAGGAGGTCAACGGCTGAAGGCTGAGGGTTCTTTGTGCAATGTCCCTTGTGGCAAGCTGTCACAGTTGGGTGACATCATAGTTGATGTCAGTGTGTCCCTGATAACTGGCACCTGATATCCGTCCAGAAGAGGTGTCTCAACCTGAGGGTCATAGTTCCTTAAGAGGTCCTTGGATGAGCTACAAATGGTTTTTGAAATTTTTGAAATTATTCATTAAATTTTGAGCACAAGTTTCAGTGTGCCCTTTCCATCATATTCTTTTTTTTTTTAACTTTATTTATTTTTCCCCCCAAAGCCCCAGTAGATAGTTGTATGTCATAGTTCCACATCCTTCTAGTTGCTGTATGTGGGACGCAGCCTCAGCATGGCCTGAGAAGCGGTGCGTCGGTGCACGCCCAGGATCCGAACCCGGGCCGCCAGCAGCGGAGTGCACGCACTTAACCGCTAAGCCACGGGGCCCCCATCATATTTTTAAAGAATATCTCTAAGATAAATGTTTCTCCCCTCAAATCCTAACAGAAATATGATCTAACTTCCTTCTTTTATAGACCGTTTGCTTCCACAATTTCCTTAAACCCTCTTAGAGGAGCACTCTTTACCTGTCCATTTTTGCCTATGTGGGCAATGTTATTTTTTCATTAAGTTGGGGAAATGGAAGGTATGAGTGGTTCTTGGATGGGAGGTTGAGGGATAATGAATGGATGGTGGATGGATATCAGAATGTGGTCTTCTTTACTGAGAGTTTTCTTACCTTCTCCCATCCCTTCCCCCACCATTCACTAAGTGTTGAAACATCTTTCCTGCCCTTCCCACTCACACTTCATGGATGAGTGAATTTCCCACTAGTGTAGTTGTTTGACACACTTTCCCACTAGTGTGACTTTAGCCTCAATGGAGGAAGCAGGTCCTCCAAGAGGAGTACAACAAACAGTACAAGAGTGGGTAGGCCTAAGTGGTCACAGATCCTCAGGAACAGGGAATCATTTTATTGCTGTCTCCTACAATCTAGTCATAATAGATGCTGTTAGATTGCTGGCTCACATAGGGCTATCTTCATTCTCTTCATTGTTTTTGTTATCATCTTCATCATCATTCTCCAAAATCACATTCCACCCATACTCCTTCATCTTTCTTCCCCTGCAAATAACTCTCTTCTTTAAGTACTTCTTTTAGTTCAGCTCTTTTGTGCATCAGAAAAATACCCATAATATCATTTATTTATTCAATCTACGTATATTTCTCAAGCATTGTGTGTCAAGCAGTTAACTAGTACCACGGTTACAATAATGAGTAATGCAGGGACTCTGTTTCACGTTATTCACAGTCCAATGGGGAAGACAGACAAAGAGCAAAAAGTATAAAAACTTGCTATAGGCACATGTGTGAGATTGTTGTTTGGGGTCAGTGGTGTTGTACAAAAAAGAGAACTGGTCAAATCTATTTAGAAGGTCAGAAAAGAATTCATAGAGAGGTGATATATAATTAACTTTTTGTGGCATTGGGTCAATTGAAGTCTGGGAGGGCTGAGGGAGGGCAGTCAAGGGAAAGAGAAGAGCCTGAGCAGAGACATAGAGCCTGAAAAAGCTAGAAGTGCTAGGAGGGCAGGTATTTTAGTCATCTCTGAATGCCCATTGCCATGTTGAATATTAGCCTGGCAAATAGCAGGTGCTTAATATAGCTTTGGATAGAGGAATGTGTGAACAAATATTAAGTATAAGGTCTTGTCCAAGGATTTCTGGGGACTTTTTTTTTTTTTGGATAGATATACCTTGTCATATTCCCTCTGTCTGCCTTGTAGATTTCCTTCACCTAAAGTAAACTAACAGAGAAAATAACCGAGTAGAGGTGCCAATCCTGGGAGTGTACTTGAAATTATTTTTCCCCATTGCAGGATTGCCTACAAGCAGTTCTTATTTGCTCCCAAACTCAATTGACATTCACGTATTTATGTTAATTAGTCACTTAAAACTGAGCTAGGAAAAAAAAATCCTTCTTTTGAAGGAAACTGGATTAATACTGGCTTAACCTGTTTTAGCTATAACCAGAACAATAACAAACTTAAAAATGGTTGCTTAATAGCTTGACATGTAAAAACAAGAGTTGAGATATTTTAAGTTATCTTTTAGGAAAAAATCATGAAACACACTATTATAGATCTTAAAACTTCTGAAATATGATTTTCACAGTGTTGACTTTGTAGCTTCTCTAGAGAAAAACTAGTTTCACTTGATATCCTCCCATATTCCCTACTTGCGATGCATAATGGATTAGAGGAGAAAATAGCTGCAGCACTCCCAACAATAAGTAGAATAAAACATTTTCTTAATGAGTACAAATGTTTCTGGGAGAAGAGAGAGGAGGGAGGCGGGCAGGAGAGATACAATTAAGTCAAAAGGCAGACAGGATGTGGCACACAGGGCACAACTTTTAAGAAGGCATGTTTAAAGGGTGCAAGAACCCAAATCAGCTTTGTTGCTGCTGAAGTGTGTACACATGTGTGATAGTGTATGTGTGAGCATATGTATATGTGCATGCACATGTATATTTTTGTGGGACAGAGATAACATTTGGGAGTTTTAGATTTGATGAGTACCATGGTATGTAGTAATCATGCTTTATTTGCAAAATTTTGTGTAATAATGATCCCTAATATTTATGTAGCTCTTTACAGTTCACAAAGGTCTTTCACATTTATGACCTTATTTGATTTTCACAGCACTTCTGTAAGGTAAATATTACTGCTCCATTTTGCAGATAAGTAATCTGAGGGTAGATTAAGTGACTTTCCCAAGGTCACACACACTGTTAGAGATTGAAGTAGGACTAAAACAGAAGTGAGCCTCAATTACAAATCTGTTAATCCTAAATTCCATGTTCTTTCTATTACTGAATCCGTATGTACAGACACATATACACAATTTATTAATTCTTATCAGGAAGTAAGGCATGATGAATGAGTAAACTTTATGTTTTAGATGCTAAAGCTTCATTTCAATCAGTATTGATAGGCTCTTTCTGAAATGTCCTATTTCCTTCCCTGCCTTTGTAAACAATGTATATTGAAGATCATGAATGTATTTCTTTAAATGTTTACTATCAGCACTTAAATTTATCTTGTGTTGTGGTTCATTGATGTCTTCAGTTGGAACCGAGCTTATATTAGAGTCTTTGCTTCTGAAATGACCCACATATTCCAGAATTTTATAAATTTTCTGTTAGCATTGTATGAGTTCTGCTTTTTTTTTAATGATTCAGTTTGTTACATCAACAAATAGGGCATGCACGTCCACTCTGAGTATCAGACACTCAATTAGACACTCAGGATGCAGATAAGTTAGACATGAGCTTTACTCTTGAGTAGTTCACAATCTACTTGCAACTCATTTCAATACAATGTGATTAGTGCTATACACAGAGTACCATGGAACCCCAAAGAAGAAAATGGCCTAACTCAGTTGGTGACCTTCATCCTTGCATATATTGGTAGGAGCAGGTCATGGTGAAAGAGTTTGGCAAGTCCAAACACTGTGCTGTAGGGAAGCTTCCTGACATTGTGCCTACTCAGAGATAGCAAGTACACTGAGATTAATGAATCCAGAATTTCCATAATGTGCCATCCACAATGTCCAGTATACAATTACAAAATGCTCAACATGTGAACAAACAGAAAAATGTGAGCACAGTCAAGAGAAAATCAGTCTTTATAAATTAACTTTAAGATGGCTCAAATTAGTAGTCAGGGACTTAAAAGCAGCTAGTATATACAGGTTCAAAGACTTAGAGAAAAATATGCTCATAATGAACAAATAGATGTGGGATCTCAGT